GGGTGCGTTTGAGGTGTAGACATCTCGGGGCAGATCCACAGGCGACTTCTCCCCCCTTAACCTCCTCTTTCTCTCTCTCTCTACCCTTCTTTCTTTTAGATTTTCTCTTTTGTCTGGTTGTGCCGCAGTCCTGAGCCAAAGTTGGTGATGTAATTTACCCCCTCCCCCTGCCCCCAACTGCTCGCTTCTCTTTTCCCCCTGGCCGCATCGTTGAAACGACAGTGTGAACAGGAAACGCATGTTCATCCATTCATACGCAGCACCGCAGGCGATGGGCAGCCGTGTCAAGAGGGAATCGTGCAGACAAAAGGAAAAAAAAAAAAGGCGGGGCACGACAATAAAAATAGAAATAAAAACAGAGAATATCACACGCACACACACACAATCAACCACTAAGACTCATGGCGCGCCTGCCGTAAAAATTCACTCAGCCCCTTCATGATTTTTCCGCACAGCCACCCTGCAAGAAAGGAATTTACTCAGGGGCCCACCAACAACACCACCAACACGCCTCTTCGTTCTGCCCCCTTTTATTCTTAACATTTATTCTCCAAGTGTCACTGCCTCCATTGATTTGCTTCCTTTTGTTTTTTTTTTTCTCCCCCCTCCCTCTCCGTGTCGTTCTTCCCCTTCAACCTGTGTTCTCTGCACGGTGTCCGCAGGTAAATACATACATGTACATACATACGCAAAGTACACTAATCCATCACCGGCGTCAACCACCCCCTCAGTAAATTAAATACGGTTTTCTTTCGCCCCTCTGCGGCAATGTCGGTGTGACGCTGCGGCGACGCGCTAAACCCAATGCCAGGAAGACCCACCGGCTCAATTTGCAATGAGACGAGTAGCCCCAGTGGTATGAGCCACAAAAACGCAGTGAAAGAAAAAAACCTGTAGGATCCTAAGTGCTCAGGCATAATGGGCGAAAAGAGAAAAAACAAATACCACGACAACAACTCCACTACCAACGAGACAATCGTCAAAATCGTCAATGGGTGCGTCAACGAGACGCGTGGAAAACCAGACAAAATACGCAGGTATAAAACATTTGTTATAATGCTCACAAGAGAACACCAAAGACTAAGCTGATCTAAAACAAGTATAAGACCATGCACAAACAAAACACCAATCGTCATGGTGTGAAGAATTTTCTTTGCACGTGTTGGGAACTCCTCAGCGACGTCAGCAACGTAGCCAATTGCGCATGTAACACTAAATAAAATTGCTATCCCAGTGATGCAACTCATAAGGAACGTTAATACATCAAAAGGCCCATAACGCATGTACGGTGGCTTGCCGGAACCCCGAAAATTGTAGTACTCGTATTCGTAATGCATTCTTAAGTCTCTCTCTGCGTGTGTCTGTGCGTGTATATGATTATTATTTTTTTTTTTTTTTTTGGGTGGGGTGGGGTGGGGGGTTGTTGTTGTTGTTGTTTCCCCAATGACTACTTAAAACGCCTCTGAACTAAAAGGGGGGGAGGGGGAAAGACAACAACTGACAAATAAAACAAAAACGCTAACGGTAGACAAGTTCCTGCTCCCTCTTCCTTCTCCCCTCTATGCCTTTTCTGTCTACATGTATATATATATATATATATATATATTAGAAAAGTATAAGGAGGAGGGGAAAAAAAAAGGGCAACCACAAAAAAAAAGTCATTGAATGAATCGTCCAGTCAATACAAAAACTCCCCCCCGAACAGTCGCAAATCTCTTTTCTTTTCCTCTTTTCTT